ACTGGTCCCTCCTGGCCTCACCCTCTCCTGTCCCTAAGCTTCTCTGCCCCCAAATCAGTCCACTGAGACTACTAGAAAAAAAATTTTTTTTGAGACAGAGTCTTGTCACCCAGGTTGGAGTGCAGTGGCACAATTTCGGCTCACTGCAACCTCCACCTCCCGGGTTCAAGGGATTCTCCTGCCTCAGCCTCCCCAGTAGCTGGGATTACAGGCATGCACCACCAGGCCCGGCTAATTTTTTTGTATTTTTAGTAGAGATGGAATTTTACTATGTTGGGCAGGCTGGTCTCGAAATCCTGACCTCAGGTGATCCACCCGCCTCGGCCTCTCAAAGCGCTGGGATCACAGGCGTGAGCTACTGCACCTGGCCTCCTAAACTATTTTTTCAAAAATCCTTAGAGAAGAGGATTCTACCCCTATAAGAAAATATTAAGATCCAGCGAGAAGAAGCAGGTGATTCCTTTGGGGCAGGACCACCGGCTGCAGTTTCAGCCCCGGCCCCTGTGTCGTCAGCTCTGTGGGATAGGAAAGGACGCCCACTCCCTCCCTGGAGGAGTCCACTAAGGGAACAGAGGCGTGCCTTGCCCTGACCCTGGACAGTTCCCCCAGGGTGGAAAGGCTGCCTTTCCCACAGAGTGGAGTGCAGATGAAAGCTGCAAATCAAGGCGTTTTTATGAGGCTGCCCGTGGAGTACCCTTGTCCCTTTCATAGGCTGTGGGGCCGACCGAGGAGCGGAGCCCACTCTCCACCCTGTGTGTCTGGCCCTCTGCCCTGGGAAGCTTATCCTGTCCACAGCCATCACCCCCTCACCCCTAGACTAGGTTGCCACTGGGAGCCCCTGCAGGAAATCAGGCCAAGGGAGGCGAGCAAGGCTGGTTCCGTCTGTTAGCTGCTGGGCCCTGCCTCGCACAGGCAGTGGAAGGCCCTTCAGGGTGGTGGCTTTCCTATATGAAGCCACCTGTGTCCACAATTGGATGGGCATGCCTGCCAACTCTCTCTCTAGGAGTCTGTGAGCCCGTGGTAAGCCCCCTCACTTTGGGCTGAAGGCTCCCACAGGTACCCAAGCACGGCTTGGGTTGCATTAGTCTGGGCTGGTGGAGCCCCAGCTCCAGAATGTGGCCCCAGCCCGGCCGGCCCGGCCCTCCCCGGATTCCAGCCCTCACAGTCCCTCTCTCATCCCCACTCATCCGTGTGCCGTCAGTCCCTCACCCCTGGCAGGCAGTGGCTGGTCTCTGTGACCTCCCCAACAGCGCCTCTGCCTGGAGGCCGTTCGTCTCCTTCCTCCCCTCAGGCATGAAAGAGCCATCCCCCCACAGCTGCCCTCAGCTGCCTCGCCATGAGTCCGGGGCAGGATTTAGCCCACAGAGTGGCCAGCTTGGCCTAGGAAGCCTGAGGGAAGTGTATGCATTGCTCGGCACTGCCATCAGGCACCCTCCAGCCACGGCTCTCGCCTCTCCCGCCAACTCCATCTTCTTAGCTCCTTCATCCTCCACTCCCGGAGGTCAGTTCAGGCCTCCATGTCAGGCCTGGGCGCAGAAGGGGACAGTCCGTTAAGGAATCAGGTGAAGCAAAGGAGCTTGTTTGGTCCAGCTCTGGGGTCACCTTAGGCCAGGCCTAGCTGCGTGCCACCTCCAATTCTAGAAGGACTCCCCCAGGGCCAGCCCGACACAGGGCTGGAAGCTGGCTGCTGGGCTCCACTCCTTCCCACAACTCCTTATGCCTGGGTCACCTGCCTCTTGCTGTCCCCCAACCCCCGACTCACTGTCCCTGTCTCCCTCAGGTCGCAAAGCAGCAGAAAGAGTCCGAATCTACCCAGAAGGCAGAGAAGGAAGTGACACGCATGGTGGTGGTGATGATCCTGACATTCTGCATCTGCTGGGGACCCTACACCTTCTTCGCATGCTTTGCTGCTGCCAACCCTGGCTACGCCTTCCACCCTCTGATGGCTGCCCTGCCAGCCTACTTTGCCAAAAGTGCCACTATCTACAACCCCATTATTTATGTCTTTATGAACCGGCAGGTAAGCCACACCATCAGCAGATCCCACTGAAAACGCTGTCTGACCTAGAAGGACCCAGTGATGGCTCCACCTGGAGTCATGTCTCTGATGAGAAGCCCACGGAGCATCTGGGGGACCCTCCAGGGAAATGATCAGGAAAGGCTCAGCTTGTGGCCCAGACCCAGCTAGAGCTCCAGCTAGCCCTTAGCAGAAGGCTTAGGTGCGCCCTCTGGAATCCTTTATAGTCTCAGCCTGGGGGTGGCATTTCCCAAAGCGTCTGTGTGCCATATGCTCTTCCCTTCTGGCGGCCCTAGAACTGTGGCTGCCGAGCTTCAGGGGCTCTCCTGGCATTGGTGAGCCCTAGGTACATCCAGCCTGTGTGACCCTCTTCTGTACAGACTCAATCCTTCTCAGCCTCCATCTCTCCATTTTCAAACCATAACCTCTAAAATGTGTCTTCCCATAAGAACAAAAACCAGCCCTTCTTGGCTACACTTGACCAAGAGTTCGGGAGCTTTCATGAGTTCGTGGGTTAGTTCAGGCCCAGAGGCAAGCTGCTCACACACCGAAATGCCCCCACCACCGAAGGCTGCAGGTTCCATTCAAACACAGCTGTGATGTGACCTGATGGTGACCAGAAGGGTGTGCAGGCACCTCCCATTTCACTCGCCCCAGCCCATCCCGTCCACTCGGCTCTTCTTTGCTCCTCCATCTTAGAGCCACTCAACGGCTCCATCCTCTTTGGCTCGGCCTTGACTCACACAAGCCAAGTCTGCAGAGTTCATTAAGGGTTCATCTTCCCTGGTGACTTTCACACAGTAAGCAGGACCAGGCCTGCAGTGGATTTCCGGGAACTCGCTGTAACACACTGATGCCCAGAGTGTAGTTCTATCCCCGACCCCTGTTTCCTGTGTTTCAAGAGGAGCTTTTTTGGGTTTCTGGAATCCTAAACTATCTTGCCAAGTGCTGTCTTTACTGGATTCTTTCCATTCTCCCTTCCAGATGTCCCCTCCTACACAGACGTCTGCACTTCTGGACCTCACCAGGCCTCAAACTTTGTTTTCACCCTTTCCACATAACTATCCTGTCCTGCCACATTCTGAGAGAATTTTCTGGAATGCAGTTCCATGAGGACAGGAAATTTTGCTCAGGACAGTGAGGCACACAGTGGGTGCTCAAGCAGCAGCTGCTGAATAGATTCCTGAGCTGATTCTGCTGTTATTATGTTAACTTTTTTCTTTTTTTTTTTTTTAAGACAGAGTCTTGCTCTGTCACCAGGCTGGAGTGCAGTGGCGTGATCTTGACTCACTGCACCCTCTACCTCCCAGAGCAATTCTCCTGCCTCAGCCTCCCAAGTAGCTGGGACTACAGGCACACGCCACCACACCCAGCCAATTTTTGTATTTTTAGTAGAGATGGGGTTTCATCATGTTGGACAGAATGGTCTCGATCTCCTGACCTTGTATTCTCCCCACCTCAGCCTCCCAAAGTGCTGGGATTACAGGTGTGAGCCACACACCCAGCCTATGTTATTGATTTCAACCCTTTTTTTTTTTTTTTTTTGAGAGTTTTGGTGACAGCGGGAGCTAGAGGAAGTCAAGAGTAGGCCTGAAATATTTAGGAAATGCCTTTGGTCTGGGTTCTCAAAGCATTGTGGTTAGTTCAGCGATCACGAGAGACATGACTTGAGACATTCATATGGCCCAGATCTCTTTGGGGTGACGCAGCAAAGACAGATCCCTCCTGGTGCCGGAAGACCTTGGCTAGAGAGACGAGGTAGGGGCTAGATTGTCATGACAACCATGTGCCTTTTCACTAACATTCCTCTGAGCTGCTCACCAGACAGTCTGGGGATAGGTCCCGACTGCCCCTTAGCTGGCACTGTGGATGAGTGTCCTGGGGCTGCCATCACAAACTACAACAAACTCAGTGGCTTCAAACAACAGAAATGGATTCTCTCACTGTTCTGGAAGCCTTGGTCTGAAATCAGGGTGTTGGCAAATGGAAAGGCTCCCCATGGAGGCTGAGAGGGGAAGCAGCCCCAGTCTCTGCTCCCAATGACAGGGTTGCCGGCAGTCCTCGGTGTTCCTTGACTCCAAGGTGTGTCGCCCAGTCTCTGCCTTCATCTTCACGTGGGCTTCTTCCCTCTGTCTGTGTGTCCGTGTCCAAGTGGTCCTTTTCTTATCAGGACACCAGTCACTCGACTAGGGCCCACCCTACTCCAGTGTGACTTCATCTTAACCTGAACACATCTTTTGGGGGACACACTTCAACCCAGTATAGTCACCATCAACTGCTAAGTCTGATTACTTAGATGACCATCCCCAAGTGTGAGGGAGAAGTAACCCGAGCCTTCCTCCATCCCCCATGCGAAGGGAAGGCTTGAGCGCGGCCACTCAGCTCCACCCTTCTCTGCTCTGCTCAGTAACACTTTCTGTCCTTCCAGTTTCGAAACTGCATCTTGCAGCTTTTTGGGAAGAAGGTTGATGATGGCTCTGAACTCTCCAGCGCCTCCAAAACAGAGGTCTCATCTGTGTCCTCGGTGTCACCTGCATGAGGTCTGCCTCCTACCCATCCCACCCGCCGGGGCTTTGGCCAGCTCTCCCTTCCCCTCCTTCTCCACCCCTGTGAAATAAATGTAATTTATCTTTGCCAAAACCAACAAAGTCGCAGAGGCTTTCACTGCAGTTTGGGGCCGCCTGAGCCTCTGCGTGTGCAGGCACTGGGTCTCGAGAGAGCACAAGGGGAGTAAAGAGGAGAGAGTGCTTCATGGACTTTCATCTTTCCCGAGCCTCATGTCTACCAAGGGTGTGAAAGAATCCTGGCAAAACAGAAGTGTGAGGCGGGTGGGCGTCTGCATCCATTTCACAGGGGTTGGTGGTTACGTAATCAGGAAGTAAGAGCTGTGGAGGGGCTGTCTGGAGAGGGCTTGCTGGATGGCCTCGGCACCCAGGAGGAGGGAGCGAGCTAGCAAGCTAAGGCAGGTGGCCCGCCTGCCCTCTTAAGGTCCATCTGCTGGAGGCTCAGAGTCCTTGGAGTACAGTCTCCACCTGGAGGGGACCCATGCCTGCCAGTCCATGGCAGGGACGGTGTGCCACCTCCGCCAGGCCAGGACCCCAAGCCCGATCAGCATCAGCATGCTGCAAGTGCGCAGGCGTGAGCTGACCAGTGACAAGGGGCAGGCACACAAGGTGGAGACAAAGACCAAGAGGACAGTGGTCAGTGAGAGCAGCAGGCTCAGGAACCTGAACACCACCTGTAGGGGACGGCTTCGGAGGTGCTCCGCTGCCTCCAGCTGGGTAACTTGCGGTAGCGTCTCCAGCTTCGATATTCGGCTCTTGAAGGTCTCCATGATCTCCTGTAGGAGGTGAAAGTGCACGCACCGGAAGTCAGCACAGAGCTGTGGTTGTTCATTGAGTTCCTAGGGGTGCGCAGCAAGTACTGTGGAGTGAGTATTCCAGGAGGGGAGCAGAGCCGAGTGCACAGCCACGCAGAGGGTAGGGCGCAGGCGCTCCGGCAACAGGAAAGGCTTCATCTGGCCCAGACGCACTCCCCAACCCACTGTCTCCCGAGGCCAAGGACCTGGTCAGGACACAGCTACCCGGGGATGGGGATGGGGACGGGAGTAGGTGCTATGGGAATGGAAGAGTGAGGAGAGGGAAGCCAGGTCTAAGGAGTGGTTCTCAGAGGGCGCTCCCTACACCTGCAGCAGCAGAGACAGCAGCGCCACCCCAGATCTCCCGAGTCAGAGGCTCACTGGTGAGCACTGCAGCACCCAAGTAGCAAAAGCGGCTAAGCCAGATGGTGGGAAGCGGAGCGTGAGTGTAAAGATCAGACACTGCTAGCTCTGAAACAAGTGAACCCTCAGGAGGGGGCAACTCGAGGACCCATGTTTTGCTTTGCTTTGGGGGTATCAGAATGGATTCACTCATCCTTCTGTCCTCCTCACAAGGCTCCCCCAGAAGGTTCTCACCCATATTTCCTTGGCTCTTTCATAGGATAGATAGGCCATTTTCTCTTCCATGCAGGCCAGATTGTGTTTGAGGTTGTAAATCTCATCCAGGTGTCCCTGCAGGCGAGCATTCACCTGTTCTTCCATCAACAAGTGTCTTGGGAACAAAAGAGAAAGTAAGATTCCTTCAGTACCTCGCCCAGAGCTCATGCCCACAGCAACGGGCCCTGCACCTAGACTAGATTCGGGTTTGGATTCTCCCTTCCTCCTCCCTTCCCAGGCTCAAGGGAAAGCCTGCCTCCCACTCCAGGTCTGCCTGGGAATGTCCCAAACACACACCAGCCACATGCACACCAATATTCATATATATTTTATATGTAGTTACTCTTTTGTAACAGCTTTACAGAAACAGCCATAGACTAGAAGTTGTAGAAATGAAACTGTGAACTATCTGTGTGTGCTCTCAAATTCCACAAATCTCCCAGGACCAGTGTTTAGCACGAGGTTGAGCCTGCAGTTACTATAGAAATACGGTGACTATAGGGATTGAACAGTCACAAAAGACCACAGATTCCACTTCAATTCCATTAATATGACACGCCCAGAGTAGGCAAATCCACAGAGACAGGAAGCAGATTAGTGGGTGCCAGGGGCTGGGGCTGGGGGGTGCGGAGTGGCTAATGAGTACAGGGCTGCTTTGGGGCTGATGAAAATATTGCGGAATTCGATAGTGGTGATGGCTGAACAACTCTGTGAATATACTAAAAACCAGTGAACTGTATACTTTAAATGGGTGAATTTTATAGTATGTGAATTATATCTCAATAAAGCTGTTATTTAAACAAAAAGAAAAAAGTGAATCGTGGCAATAGTCGCACAACTCAGTAAATTTACCAAAAACCACTGAAATGTAGTTGAAATTGTGCATTTTATAATATGTAAATTATATCTCAATAGAGCTGTTAAAAAACCACAAGCAGACCAGGTGCAGTAGTTCACACTTGCAATCCCAGTGCTTTGGGAGGCCAAGGCAAGAGGATTGTTCGAGGCCAGCAGGAATTCAAGACCAGCCTGGGCAACACAGTGAGACCCCATCTCTAAAAAAAAATTAAACATTATCTGGACATGGTGGCACGTGCCTGTAGTCTCAGCTACTCTGGAGGCTGAGGCAGGAGGGTCTCTTGAGCCCAGGATTTCGAGGCTGCAGTGAGCTGTCATCATGCCACTGCACTCCAGCCTGGGCAGCAGAGCGAGAGCCCATCTCTAAAAGGAAACAATCACTACCTGTTGTGTATATAATTATATAAGTAGGAAAAGTATAAAACCATGCATGGAAAAGATAAGCACCCAAATGAGAATAGCGAGGCCAGTGGAAGGGAGATGGTGCTGGAAAGGAGTAACGAGAGCTTTAACTGAATGTTTTAAAGTTTTATTTCCTAAAAAAATAAGATTTGAAGTGAATATGGCAAATATTAAGATTTCAGAAACCTGGAGCTGTTAATTATATTATCCTGTACATTTTCCCTGGGCTTGAAATACTTCATAATTTAAAAACTTCTTTGAGTTCCTCATTTGGCACCACAAAGAACAGGCCAGAAAGAAAGAGGCCAGGGGGTCAGTGAGGGGGCTCTGGCCACCGCTTAGGTAGAAGACAGAAGGCACCAGAGAGTGATGGAACCCATAGACTGTAGGGCTGTCGGCCCAGGAGGGCCAGGAGGGTGGCGGCAGGCCTGGGGTGCAGGAGGTCTAAACAGTGGTGCTGACAGAGACAAGGAAAACAGTGACAACTTCTATTTGGTCCCACTCCAAAGACTTGACTGACACTCACACGGAGAAATCCCCTGGGCACTAAATAAGCTGACAGCTCATTTGTCAAAAGCTAATTTGTCAAAAGCCGGTTCCTCACATCATTTCAAGGAACGTTCCATTTGTCTCTGCCCCAGGTCCCTGTTGAGAAGAGAGTCGGCGGACAACATGGACTAGGCTACTACTCACAGAGACGGGGAGTGGGTCGGCAGGACGGCTGCCCCGAAAATAGATTCCCCATTACTCTTTCCATTTACATGAACGACCTAGCTGCGAGAACACTCAGGATTTTAACTGTCCTTGGGAATATGAAGTCAATCTTCTTCATCAATGTATTTATAAAGATACATGAAGCTATTCTTCAATGCATTCCTGAATAGTCTATTCAGATGTTAGTAAACAATATTTTCATAAGGACATTCTCTCAGTCTCCCCTTCTCTCTGCCCCCCATCTCCTGGCCCTCTGGCAGCCATGCTCCCTTCTCTTCCTTGGTCTCAGACCCCTCTCCCTCCAACTCCTATAGCCACAGAGGCAAATGGACAACTCTGAAGAATGCTCTTATGAAGACAAAATGATGACCAGTCAAGCCAGACACCCTCAAGACAGACCAAAGCTGTTAAGATCACCTTCTCCAGCACAAAGTGTTCTAAACTTTATTGAAATTGTGTGTGTGTGTGTGTGTGTGTGTGTGTATAGATAGATAGATACATATTTTTTTTTTTGAGACAGATCTCTTTCTGTTGCCCAGGCTAGAGTGCAGTGGCACCATCTCGGCTCACTGCAACCTCCGCCTGCCGGGTTCAAGCAATTCTCTTGCCTCAGCTTCCCGAGTAGCTGGAACTACAAGCATGCGCCATCACTCGTGGCTTACTTTTGTATTTTCAGTAGAGACAGGGTTTCACCATGTTGGCCAGACTAGTCTCCAACTCCCGACCACAGGTGATCCGCCCACCTTGGCCTCCCAAAGTACTGGGATTACAGATGTGAGCCATTGCGTCCGGCCACAAAGAGTATATTCTTGATCATTTCTGAGAATTTCCTTTTGGCAAACTGAGCTAGAACCTAATCATGGCTCGCAACTTGGAGGAAAGGTCCGAGATGGAGAAACAGCTGTAGGATGGGTCAGTAGCATGGGGGCAATGGGTGCATGTGGCCAGAATGGATGAGCTTGCTCTGAGCAAATGTACCAAAGTGAGGGGCCTTGGGGAGCTGGGTTAAGAGCCAACAAAACAGAAGCCTAAGTGGGAGGAAAATCACCAGGACAGCTCACGCAGGAACCCAGGGGATGCAGGGATACAGTGGAAAGGTCAAACATACATGTAACTGGGACCTTAAAAGGGGAGAAACGAGAGATGAGGGCAGAATCAATATTTGAAAATATAATGGCTGAAAATTTCCAAAATTTATGAGAGACATCAAGCCATAAACCCAAGTAGCAATGCAAACTCCAAGCAGGATGAATGCAAAGAAAATCACACCAAGGGGAGAGTCAGCGGCACACACACACAAAAAAGACAATCACACCAAACGTCATCATAGCAAAACCACTAAACACCAAAGAAAAAGAAACCTTAAAAGGAGCCTGAGGAAAATGAAACTGTCATGCAAGGAGCAACAAGAAGACTGGCAGCTGCCTTTTCACCAGAAGCCATGGGAGCCAGAAGGGAATGGTTTGTTCAAAACGCTTATTATTTCAAAAAATTAAGTGCCAACCTACAATTCTATGCCCAGCAAAAAATATCCTTCAGAAATAAAAAGGAATGATGGCATGTGTGACACAATAAGGTGACAGTGACTGTATATTTAACCTTGTGGACTTGTTTTAAAACATTTTTGGCGTGGTATTTAGACTGTTAACAAAGTCATCCATATTTCAGGTTCACACTGAAATATTTACAGATGAACTGATAAAATGTCTGCGCTTTGCTTCAACACAATAGGGATGTAGGAACCAGTTCAGAGAGCGGCTCAGACCTTGGGTCAGACCACCTCAGAGATCCAAAGATGCAGGATGCTCTGACATGGAGAAATTTGGGAAGAAATGGAAGTTCTTGTGCCTTCAAGTTAACAAGACCCAAGCCTGCAACAAAGGCCTAAGCAGATACCTTGAGAAAAGTCAGCCCAAGGCTGGATCCCTGGGGCTGAGAGGTCACAGCAACAGTGAAGCCTCTAGTAACCATAGCCTGTTATCTCTGAGCCTTGTCTCAAAGCAAAACATACCAGAACATTCTTGGGACAGAGCAGCTAGGGTCTGGATGCCCACAAGGACCTGGTGTCCAAAAAAGAAGGAAAAGCACAGAGACCTGGCATATTTACTTGAGGGCCTTTTCAGTATGACAGGAGACTATAAGAAAATTTCACGACTGCCCACTTGAGGATACAGCCAGAAATACAAAGCAAGAGTGAAAGTCTTGCCTGCTCAGCACCTGAGCATCTTCCTTTTTATTTCATTTTTATTGAAGCAAATTTCACGTAACATAAAATGAATGATGTTAAGGTGAACAATTCACTAGCACTTAGCACATGCAGCGTTGTGCAACAACCACAGCTATTAATAATCCCAAAACATTGGCCGGGCGCGGTGGCTCACGCCTGTAATCCCAGAGCTTTGGGAGGCTGAGGTGGGCAGATCCCAAGATCAAGAGATCGAGAACATCCTGGCCCACATGGTTGAAGCCTCATCTCTACTAAAAATACAAAAATCAGCCAGATGTGGAGGTGCCCACCTGTAGTCCCAGCTACTTGGAAGCCTGGGGCAGGAGAATTGCTTGAACCCAGGAGGCGGAGGTTGCAGTGAGCCGAGATCATGCCACTGCACTCCCTCCAGCCTGGGCGACAGAGCGAGACGCCATTTTTAAAAAGCCATTAACAACTACTTTTTTTTTCTTTCTTTCTTTCTTTTTTTTTTGAGACAAGGTCTTACTCTGTCCTTTGTCACCCAGACTGGAGTACGGTGCCACACTCATAGCTCACTGCAACACAAAACTCCCAGGCTCAAGCGATCCTCCTGTCTCAGCCTCCCAAGTAGCATGTGCCACCAAGCCCGGCTAATACTTTTAAATTTTATTTGCAGAAATATGGTCTCTCTTTGTTGCCCAAGCTAGTCTCAAATTCCTGGATTTAGGCAATCCTCTTGCCTTGACCTCCCAAAGCACTGGGATTACAGGCATACACAACCACATCTGGCTCAATTTTTCTTTACAGTTTTTCAAGGACTTAGTTTGCAGATAGGAAGCAGAAAGTAATTATAAATTCAGTTCCATCAACATCTACTTGGGGCTTACACACAAGTATTAATTAATTCTCACAACACTGCCAACAATAGTGGAATCATTATTACCTCCATTTTA